TAATTATTCTTTCTTTTATAATGTTAAGCTGGATTCAATTGGTGTTAATTTTGTTTGTAGTCATGAATTTTTATTATAATTGTTTATGGCTTACATTTGGAGAAGCGCACTATTTACAATTGATATTAGATTAGATTAAACCCTATGTTAACTAGTAATTTTATAACACATCAAACAACAACATCAAGCCTTGTCCCACTATGTCGGGTCGGCTACATGAATTATTTTTCGATAATTTTATTACACATCGTAGATATTTTATTGATCTAGATTTGCTTTTGAGAGATTGCACCTTTGTGATAACTAAATTTAGTGATGGTGAGGTAACTTAGATCAATTAATAAAATATCTGACTAAGCAAAATAATTAATTTTGATGTCTCTAGCTGTGTACTTAAGATTGATTGGTTGCGCTTCTTATATGACTTTTGCTTGGTGAAACTTAGTAGACCTCAATCAAATTTGGAGTTCGTACCACTCGCTGTAAGTAGTAGTTTATTAAATAATAAACATACCATTTCTTGTTAAGGGCATTATCCTTGTTACTTGTATTAGGTGTTAAATATTATAGGTTGTCAATCATATTTTTAATATTCATTTGTTGATATGTATAGCAAATTGTGTTTTTTGTTCATAATGAAATTATCATATAATAGTGCCAACATTATCTTGATTTATTGTTGCACGAGCTCATATCTATTTAATTTGATTATTGTTAAAGGGAATTTAACTCATACATATTAATTCTATTAAATACAATAAATGATATACCCGCGAATTATATTGGTTGTAAAATTCATAATTTTCATATTGACTATACACTATGTAATGCATGTTGAAAATTTATTTATGAGAAATACGAAAAATTGTATGCATGTGTGCAATGGTCGGTAGAACCCTATTAGACACTGACTAGCCAAGCCGACAAGCCAACTAAGTGAGAACTCCATAGGAAATCAGATTTCCTTGGGTTTATGTTTGCCTTACTAATGAAGGGTGCTTGACAAAACCGACTATAGATATATATAAATATATATATGTAAACATATATGAACTGAAAATAATGAATGAAGAGATTCAAAATCTTTTGAAGCTTAGAAGGTTTATGATGTTCATGTCATGTTAGATGGAAAAACACAAAAAACTAAATGTGTAAATAATTGTAATTTGGTTGCTTCTAAAAGAGATAATAATAAGAATAGTTAAATTCTAGGATATGAGAGGGTAACCTATCAAATAAATAAACACCTATGTTTAATGCTTCAACTCAAATTTTAGGCCAAACTACATATTCAAGCAATAAGGTTTGTGTTAAAATCTCAGTCATCCCCTGGCACTTCATCCCACGGTCAGGATGGGAATCCGTGGGAGGCTCACCTGGATCACGCCAATCTCCTTCTATATTTGGGTGGCTGATTTAGGAAGGATTATATTGAGGCAATTATGCATGATTATGTAGTTATTGTTTCGTTATTAAGACATCTTGTATAAATCTATAAATAGGGATAATTTTGTATAATAATGATATATATTTTTCCCTACCAAATTTTATGAATTCTAACATGATATCAAAGCCAACGGCCTTCATTGTCATTATAGAACGATCTTATATCATCACATGAGAAAAAAAAATCGAAGCCTTGATGAGGACGAACGTCGTGGACATAACCCCTCTGCCGACGGAACCTTACTAACCGACGTTGAATGTTACCTAATTATTTGGGTAGAACGGGTCTTACTGCTTCTCTATAAAAGTAGCCCAATGGTGGGTCTTACAATTTAGCCTTATAGGTTAAACTGTCCAAAGTTCATATTTAATTTGAAAGGATTTTCTCTCAAGTAAAAGGTCTCACAACGTCTTTGGAAAATGCCTGAAAATGGGTCATATTACTTCACTTAGAAGTTTCCCTTTAGCGGGTCTTATAACCTAGTCCTATAGACTAAGATGCTCATTAGTTTGAATTTGGTTGTTTGGGGTTTAGGGTTATTGCAATTTATTCGGCAATTTTTCTAAAATGTAGGTCTTACAACTTTACTTTAGATGGCGGGGCTTATAACCTAACCCGATAGATTAGGATACCCATTAGTTTGAATTTAGTTGTTTGTTTGTTTGCGTGGACACCAATTGTTTGAGAGGTTTGACAATAGTGTCTAGTTTTCAATTGTCGTTGTGTGACGTTAGTGTTTTTTCTACCATAACTCTTTTCTTACTATTTGGTAGTTTCTTTTCATTTCAGCAGTTTATTTTTCCTGCACCAGTGTACTGGCAGTTCACTTTTCCAACAATAATGTACTGGCAGTTTACTTTTCCTACAATAATGTACTGGCAGTTTACTTTTCCTACAACAATGTACTAGTAGTTTACTTTACCTATACCAATGTACAAGAAATTTACTGCAGCATTTTCTGCTTTAGCATTTATTTTGATATTAAATTAATTTCAATGCTTAATGAGTTTTATTTATTTATTGCAGGAGCTCATCTGCTCATATATGAGAGACTTTGGAGAACTTGAAAGTATGTTGTTGAGAATTTTGTGAGTTGTTGGGTTGTTTGTGTTGAGAGTTGAGTTTGTTGGTTAATTTTGAGTTGAGTTGTTAAAAGCAGTCTATACAAGAGGTTTGGAAAGTTTGAGAGTTGTGTTAATTATTGTCTATAAAAGAATTTGGGAAGTTTTGTTTCTTGTGAGTTGCATTTGTTGAGAGTTTGAGTTGATTAATATGAATATTTTATTATGCATTTCATTTATATTTGTTGATTAAACTAATTTAATAAAGTAAATAAAAAATTAATTAATTAATGATTTATTAAATGAAATTTAAATTTAAATTTTATTTTGAATGAATTGCTAAAAATCTTAAATGAATTAAATGTATAATGTATTAGTAAGTTTATTCAATTAATAAAAATGTCAAAGTCATTCAATTAATTCAAAGAAATTGATTATTTATTTATTTTTTATGATTTAATTATTTATTTAAATTAAAAGAAATTGATTATTTATTTATTTTTTATGATTTAGTTATTTATTTAAATTATATAAGTTTGGTCATAATTTAATCTTTTTTTATTTATTTAATCAATTAATTGAATGAGTATTATTCTTTTTTGATGAATTAATTATTTTTAAATAAATTTAAAAATAATTAAATATCTCAAAATTTTCTCTCCAATTGCTCCAAAAGAAATTTCTTGTAATCTTTCAAGGGATTTCGGCAACCTCCCGGCATCCCCTCCCCTCACGGGGAGGTTAGGACAGCATTTGTTGATAAATTCTTCCCGGCCAAACCTAAGGTCGACGGAGCGAGACCTTGAATTTGCAACCATATCAGACGAACATAAGGTCAACGACGTAAGGTCTTCATTTTAAAACAATCTCGGCAAGACCTAAGGTCAATGGCGCGAGGTCTTCAATTTCGTCTCGGTCGAATCTAAAATCAATGGCATGATGGCTTCATTCAAAATTCTTCCCGACCAGACTTAAAGTCAATGGTGCGAGATCTTCAATTTCATCCCAAACGAACTGAAAGTCGTCGGCATGAGATTTTTGTTTTAATGTCTATTTGCTATTTATTGTCAAAACTCCTTTTTTTTCTTTTTCAATATATATAAACAAAAGCTCTATTGGGGATTTGGCCGAAGTAAAGTGGGGAAGAAGCCAAAGGCATACGAAGACCGGCGTATTCACGGCGGAGTCATGAAACAAGAAGCAGGATTTACCTGCAAACAGGAGATTGATTTAGCGATTGGTGATGGGCTCGTAATTAAGAGCGATTTCGCAATCGAACGAGGCATCGCAGACCGGCATGTGGAGCTTGGGGCGTTGGACGAAACAAGCAGAGGCGAAAGTTTTGTCAGGCGTTAATTGGGTTTGCTCAGCACGGAACAAGGAAAAAGAAAATGAATGCGAGCTTCTCTTCAATTTCTATCTTTCCTTTTCTTGATTAAGTCGCAACTAAATGATATTTTTGAACACGACAGTGTGGGGCAGACTTGAAGGCGGCATTATTGAAGAAATGCGTCTATTAGATATGAAATCATGGCAGCACACTTTTTTTTAATAGTTGACTCTTGATTATTACTAAAAATATACTTACAATTTAAAGAGTTCAACTTTTCTATTTTTTAAAGAGAAACTATTTTTTTAAAGAGAAGCAAATTGCTGTCATGCAATAGCTAAAAAAAATGTTGCTTATCTTTAAAATCTTATAGCCATTATCAATTTTAATATTATTTCAGTTTTCACACTCTTCCGTATCTATTTGATAAAAAAAATGTAATTCATTAATTAGCATAAGAATTAAATACCATGAATACTCCACCTTCAAGCTTTAATGTAATCTGTCAGCAATTTTCCTAATAAAAATTTTAAAAAAGTATTACAATGCTGATTGCTCCACTATCATCAATGTGATAAAATCTGTAAGACAACTTTACTTGCACTAAAGCCACATCCTTCAAGAATTATGTTCCAACCTTCATTGTGCCAAAGCCGCCTTTAACAAAAATTTTCTTACAATTACATTCTCTCTTATTATTTTTATCAATCAACAATCCCTCACAAAAAAATGGTTGACAACAAACACTCACAAAACTCCTCAATAGCCTCCCTCTAAACCCTAGACAACTCCTCCTCAAATAGCCCTAAAACACAATAATATAAATAAAACCTTCCTAAATAATTTAAAATATGATTTCGGAAACCTTCCAAAACAATTAAACAAAATTTAGGAAACCTTCCTAAATAAATTAAACATAATTTAGGAAATCTTCCTAAATAATTAAACATAATTTAGGAAACCTTACTAAATAATTAAATACTTCCTAAATAGTATAAACATAATTTAGGAAACCTTCCTAAACAACTCCCCTTGATTAGGAACCTTCTAAATATCTTTCCTGGGCCCCACAAAGTTGCCCCTGTGGCTTATCACAAGCATTAAATTCACAAGTGTATAAGGGATAACAAAGCAATGGACATATTCAATAAGATGAACTCACCACCAAGTTAGGAAAAGAGTTCAAAGAATCAAGAGATGCCAAGTCATCAATTTGATTAGAGCCTGAAACATTATTTTATTTTAGTTCAGAGAAGAATCAATGCAGCATTTTCATAACAAATTACAAGATAAAAAGAAAGTCCTAAAAATAGCAACGAAAACTGCCTCTGAATTACCTAGAAGAAGACATTCCAGTTTTTCAAATGGTACATAACATGTATCTTGTAAACCAGGCAAAGTACGATTAGTTGGGTAGAATATATGAGTCAATTTGTTCTTGTTCAGATGAAGCTGTTCCAACCTGAAAAAATAACAATGCAAAAATAATCATCCAAAGTTGTGGGTGAACACTTAGAGTATCAATCTTCATACCTTCTTAATTTTGCAAGCTTCAAAACTTCCTCCCATGAACAAATGCAATTGTTTTCCAGATTTAAGAGGCGCAATGAATTAAACCCTTTGATATTAGTAATGTCCAGTTCAGAAGGTGAAAGCTGAAAGAAAAAAAAACTCAATTTGTTAGGCCTGAAATGTTTCGTAACTTACAATGCATGTAAATTGAACGCTAGCCAGACTGCTCTCAATGAAGCCGTAAGGCACAATAATTTCGTATTAATTTAGAAAGAACATTACAAGTTGAAGGTAATGTCGCATCTGTAACATAGTAATTCTACATAGACCAAGAATTGATTTTTTTTTCAGCCATAATCTTCAATCAAAAGCTATCTTGAGATTCAAACAATGTGAGACTAAATCATAATGTCATTGATTGGAAGGCAATGCAAAATACACGAACCTAATTCATTTAAAAAAGCAAATAACATATTTTTCTACATGACAAGTACATATATGATAAACCACACATGACACAACATAAGAAAAAGAAAAGAAACTGTTAAATCTCTACACGTGAAGGAAATTTGCTTTTTGCAACTGACTAGGTTAAAAAAGAGAGAAATAATCAACATCAGAAAAAGAATAACCTTATTCTAGCAATACATCAGTATCACAGGATTTTGGTGCATACCAGTGTCATCTTATTTCCCATGAGGTGGAGCTCTTCAACAGCGTGAAGATACTGCCCAAGCCTTTCAACCTGCTTCCAGTCATAATAGTCAAAAGGGCATGCAATATGAAGCAGTAAAAAAGACAAAAGCCAATTTATTAAACATCACCTGTTTCCAAGTTACGCCACAGTTATTGAGTACCAAAATGCGAATGTTTGAAAATGAAAGAAGTTCTGGTACATCAGCCTCCAAAAGATTATTAGTTAAATTGAGAATTTCTAGAGACGGTAAAGCTTCACAAAGGGAATTAATATCCTGCATTAATGTAATATGTCCTTGAAATGTCAAAAGATAAAGGTAGATCATTCTAATTACGAGTTCCAAATTATCCACTGGGTTTAAAAAGACACTAAAAAAATAGATCGGGAGTAAATTACAGTTTTTAAGATTATTTAGTCTCCTTTACTGAACCCAACATCAACTGTAGCCCTAAGGATTAGAAGAAATAAAGAATGGGCATATCCAGAGCATGGATTCTCACAATGTAGTATATGGGGAGGAGTTTAGCATGCCAATTTATGAGTAGCTGATGATAAAGCTATTTTCTCATTATTATCATTAAGCATTTATTGATACAGAAATCCAATTTATGTAGTATTAACAGCTAAGCATATAAATTATAGCCTAGCCTATAATTATGGGGATTCACAGATATGTCAAAATGCAAGTTGATATGTTGACAGAGATAGAAAAACAGAAAAGAATGATATATGAAAAAGATATAGAAATGCATATATTTTCATTTATTTATCTTTATGGACATTTTCTTCTGCTGAACAACAAAGAACAAAGGAGATTACCACTAATGCAAATAACACGAATGCATGAGCATTAAGCAACAATTCTGCAGCTTTTATTTCATTAAAGGGATAGGAATTAAAAAAACAATAGATCCATCGATGAGATCTAACAATGTAAAGTGTGGTCACTTAACATGGAATTCAAGTGTAAATCCTAAATAGGTAAGAATTGCGAACATTAAAATTGACGAACCACAAAAAAAATTTGATGAGAAAAGCGGTCTAGTTAAGACATACTTGCCAGCTTGAAAGAAGATTGCCTGTCAAATCAAGCTCCTTTAGATCTAAAATTGAAAAAATTAAAAAATTAAAAAAACACCATGGTACTATGCTTTCAAGATGAATGGGAATGTCAAAGCTAAGAGCAGATGTTCAAAACATTAAGCCAAGCTTCTACAGTACACATTTCGAGATTAAATCATCAAGCTAATATTAAGGAACTTGACGGAGCAGTTTGGTAGCACCAAGGATTTCATTTTAGAAGGATTTCGTAAATCCTCTAAATCTGAATTTACGAAATCCTGAAAATAGTTTGCCAACATTTATGCTAAATCTTATGTGAATGTTTGGTTATTCAAATAAGGATTTAAGGCAGTTAAAATATTTGACATACATTTCTTGGATAATAAAAACATTTAAGGTGGTTAAAATATTTAAGGGGGTTAATTATTATTTATAATATTTTATAACAATTATTTTTATTTTAAAATAACTAAGTATTTAACTAATAATTTTAGATAATTTAATTAGTATTACTTAATTTTTAATATTTTAAATTATATTACTTAAGTTCTCCAGCAATAACTTATAGGAGTCTAGGTTTTGCCTTTCCCTTCTCTATCTCTTTCGACTTCGTTCCATCGCAGGAGTGTAAAGTTTTGCACGAGTTCTTCGTCGCAATTCGACTTCGCTCCTTTCCCTTCTCTATCTCTTTCGACTTCGTTCCATCGCAGGAGTGTAAAGTTTTGCACGAGTTCTTCGTCGCTATTCGACTTCGCTCCTTCGACTATGGCAGAAGTTACGACATTTCTTGATCAAAAACAACGGAAGCTCCCTTGTCGTGAAGGTAACTTTCTCCCTTTAGCGCGCTTCTTTTGCCAAATCCTGTAAATCCGCCGAACTAAAGGATTTCGTAAATCCAGGATTTACCACGAAAAGAGGGATTTTTTCGTCACCCGCGCTTTGATTTACCGTGAGATTTGGTTTTGCATTTTTGGCCGTTTGGCTGGATTTAGCTCAAATCCGCTTCAAATCCGGTCTAAATCCTGCATCCAAACATCCTCGACATGTTACATTTAAGCTCAATGAGTTTTTTTTTTCCCATAAGATGAGAAATATATGAAAATCGTACAAAATAAATACACAAACTGGGGCATCTAGTACATTATAACATTTTCATTGATCCTACAATATGAAAACCACAGCAAATTTGGTCCATATATTCCTTTTGCAATATCTGGTGTCATCTTTTAAGAATTCCGAAAAGGGCTAAAATGATCCATTAACTCTTAAGAATGATCAAAATAGTACGCAACTATATTAAAGGGTTATTTTGATCCCCCACCTCTTTAAAAAAAATAAAAAGAGCCCCACCATTAATCTTTTTTATAGTAAAAATTAATAAACTAATGATTACATCAGATGGAGAGAGGATATATCAAGAATACAGTAAATTCGTTGAACCTAATAGTGATAAATTCCCAAGGTGAAATCGAAATTGAAGGATTTATCATATCGCAAGATTCGAACCCCAGCGATGAACCCCTAACAACGTTAAACCCCAACAGTCGACATGAAATCAAAATCGAAGCAAGCGAGCATGAAACTCCAACAGTAATGAACCCCACCAGTCGACCGTTCCTCACACCGCAACCATGAAGGAAACCTTTTGATGAGGACATCTACATGAGTTCTAGCGCGAGGAGACCTGCATGATCTACGTCCATGATCTACTTTTGATTTTTATTATATTTGATGTATTTTGTTTTATGTTTTGTGAGTATATTGTATTTCTTTCCATGTATGCCCTTGCTTAAGAGCCTCGTCATGTGTTAGCCTTAGGGGCAATTTGGTCTTTGTATTTTCTTTATTCCTTTGGCTATTTAAGGCCTTCTCCTCTTCATGAAAGGTTGATGAATGAATAGTTGAATGAAAATTGTGTTTTTTTTCTACTTCTTCTAGCATGAGAGCTTGAGAAGGGAGAGAGCTCAAGGGGAGCAAATCGCAAGGCCCACCAGTCGTTGGAAGAGTCCGCGGCTCATGGTTAAGTTAGCTTATCTTCTCGTTTGTGTTTTCCTCCAACCACTTCCCCTCCACCACAAGAAAAGCCATTCAAAATCCTTGGGTTGAAACCGAGCCTAGCCTTTGCCGCCACCTCCTTGGAAGCCAGCCGCCGGCCACTCCCACGGCACCGGCCGGCCACCTTGCCGGC